TAACTGATCTTGACACTCTGTACCAGCTGGAGCCTCCAAATTGACTTTGAGGACAGACCTATGTAGAGTGCATTGCAGTAGTCTGTTCTCAATTCAGGTGGCCAGATTGGTCATGTCAAGGTAGGAGACCATCTTCCAGGCTACACTGAGTTGGGAGGAAACATTTTTTGTAGCTGCATTAACTTGCTTCTCCAGCAGCAATGCTGGATCCAGTGTAATTCATGAGCTCTTAATTGTGTCTGCAAGGGTCAGCTGTACCCCAGTGGAAATGGGAAACATAATGTCCTTCAAGATCTCTTACCCAGCCAGTATCACTCATCTGTCTTGTCTGGATGCCGTTACGGTTAGTTCAGTTTCAACCATTTGACCACAGTAACGCCATGGCTCAAGACCTCTACCGCATCACTAGGGGATTTGGATAGAAAGATATAGAGCTGAATATTATCTGCATATTGATGAGATCCAATTCCAAAGATATGAATGATTCCTTCTAAAGGCTTTACATAGAGGTTGAATTACATAAGGGATAAGATTGCACCCCATGGAATCCACAAGACAGCTCCCACATTGAAGACAGCTGATCTCTAACACCAATCCTCTTGAGTCCAATGATTTATACTAGTCCAAAGCACATCCACTGATACCTACTTATGCCTCCAAATGCCTCAAAGGATAGCATTATCTGCTTTATCCAAGGCTGCAGGTAGATCCAGGAGGCCTGACAAGGACACATGGCCTTTGTCTACATTCAGATGTAGGTAGTCAACTTTAGTCACCAGGGCCATCTTTGTCCCATAGCCTGGCGTGAGAGCAGACTGAAAAGAGTCCAGGGCATGTGAGTTATCCAAGAAGACCTGGAGCTGATCTGCTACTGCTCTCTCTGTCACTTTTCCCTGGAAGGGCAGATTAGAATGGGTAATAACTGGTCACATTATTTTTCAGTAGGGATGGTTTTTTAAGTAGCAAAGAGATAATCACAGTTGTGGAATTCTGTGTACAGTTGTGGCCTTGCAGAGCTAGGAAAAGTACAAAGGGCAACCAAGATGATTAGGGGGTTGGAGCACCTTCCATATGAGGAAAGGCTGAAGAGTCTGGGACTTTTCAGTTTAGAAAAGAGACGACTAAGAAGGGACATGATAGAGGTTCATATAATTATGCATGGAATGGAGAGAGTTGACAAAGAGAAATTTTTCTCCCTTTCTCAAAATACTAGAGCTTGAAGGCATCCAGTGAGTCTGATGGGCAGTAGGTTCAGGATGGACAAAAGGAAATACTAATTGCACAGAGAGTGATTAAAATGTGGAATTCGTTGCCAGAGGATGTAGTGATGGCCACAGGAATAAACAGCTTTAAAGAGGATTAAATAGATTCATGGAGGATAAGTCTATCATTGGCTCCTAGCCATGGTGACTGAGGAAAGCCTCCACATTCAGAGGCACTAATCCTCTGAATCCCAGAGCCAGGAGGCAACTCGGGAAAGCCTCGGCCCCTGTTCCCTGTTGTTGGCTGTCCAGAGGAATTGCTTGGCCGCTGTTGAGACAGGATGCTGGGCTAGATGGACTATTGGTCTGATCCAGCAGGTCTCTTCTTATGTTCTTATGGTGTTCATTAAGGGCTCATCAATGTGGTCCTTACATGGTGGACTTCACTATTCATAGGATCCTGTGAGAATTTGTCATGGTAACTGGGTCAAAATGGTCCATAAGCAGACCAGATGAAGTACTAGGCAGTACGTCTGCTCAGCCTATATTACAGCCAGCATCCAGATCAGAGCGTTATTTGTGTTATTTTATCGGGGGGGAAATATAGCAAAGGCATCACACCTAAGTTTCTGTTCATGAGACAATAAACATTCTGATTTATGAGTCAGTAGATGTCAAAATACCTTTAACAACTGGGATGGACATGAACTAGGTAGTGCAATTTCTTTGCCATCACCGCTGCCTGATAGTTCTTCCTGTGGGCTTTATAGCTCATTCTTTCAGATTCAAGTTTGAGTCCAACTTTGTTCTGTTGCTTCAGACCAACACAGCTACCCACCTGAATCTTTCAGATTCAGTACAGATTTTATGTCAGCACCTTTCTAGACAACTTCCAGCCTTCTTTAGGTCACTCAGCTCCATGGCAAATCACAGATCTGGCTTCTGCCCCATGGACAGGAGGGGTCAATGAGGAGCAACCTTCTCAGTGGCTTCGATGAGCTTCACATTCAAAGCTCCAACTGCAGCCTCAACAGAGTATGTATTTGGAATCCTATAACCACCCAGAGCATTTTGGAATCCAGAAGAATCCACAGAGCCTTGTGGGTGGACCATTTTAACTGCCTTCCTCTTTTGCAGAGTGTTGAAGCCATATTCACTCTTGCCATGAGTAGATAGCAGTCAGACCATGGTTCAGGCCAAATCTCCAAAACAAGACCTTGCGTAAAGCACTCAGTGCAGAAGATTAAGTCTAAGGTGGAACCCTTTCATGTGTAGGACTCATCATGATCTGGGGAGAGGCCCCATATGATTTAGGAGCAACATACATGAAGGGCTGCCTACTCCCTTATGGACCCACCTGGCCACTACAGTAATCTATGGAGGCCCTGCTTTGGGTGCTCCCACCTTTTGAGATTAGGCAGGTGACAACCTGGGAGAGGGCCTTCTAGGTCATGGCACCAGAACTCTGGGGGCAGTCATTTATCCCCTTCTGTTCCCATCTTCCACCAGCAGGTGAAGACTTTTGTTTTGTTTGGCTCTCCTTCCTGGCCAATGTATTCATTGCTATCTTTATGTCTTTGTATCTATTTTAGCTCTGTTTTATTTGTTTTAATGATATGTGTGTTTGGGGCGTATGGTTTTAGAATGTGATTTCATCAATACGTTTAAATTTGTTTGCTGCCTTGGTGGTCCTTGTGAGGGCAAAAAGTCAGGATATAAACTTTGAAAATAAAATCCTGGGCTGGCCTTAGTGAAGAACACTCAGTATGAATGTTGAAGCCCCCCAGAACCATCAGTCTGGGTGTCTCCCAACTCCTAGAGTACTTCCACCACCTCAGAGAGGGTGTCCACTGAGAAACGAGGTGGCCACTGAGAAACGAGGTGGCCAGTAAACAAGCAGAATGCCTCATCTACCCTTGGTCACCAATATCAGGAGGATATAAAAGTTGAAGGGCTCATGGAGGATGATAGCCACCCCTCCTCCCCAGTCACCTGTGTGGGGTTGGTAGAGGGCTGCAAAACTGGGCTATGGTCATTGGAACAGACACACCATGCTGTTTTCTTCCTACCATGTCTCTGTTATGCAAGCCATGTCAATTTTCTCTTTCTGTAGCATCCTGGAGGGGTGAGCAGTTTCAGGCCTCAGTGACCTGGCATTGCACAAGATTAGTGAAGAGGTGAGGGAAATAGGCGCCCTTGCCTCATTGACCCTCAGCATGGTATGAAGATTAGACAGGCAGTGAGCATCCTTGCCAAATACTGGTCATCTTTGGAGAACCCCACCCCCATATCTGTCAGCTCCCATCTGCATTGAAATTGTGCTTTCGTCAAACGTCCTGCACCAGGGAAAGATTGCCCCCAAACCCAACATGCTAGTGTCCACAGAGCAGCTATACAGTAGTCCAGGACTACTGTTCTGATGTTTTAATGTTTGGGTTATCCAACAGGTGTGGTACTATATCACTACTGCTCCTGGTTTTCCAGTGAGTGGCTGGTGTCACTCTCCCTCTCCAGTGCTGGCAGACCATCTTCCTCTGCAACAATAGGGCTCTGTCTGTGTGTCCCAGGCTAAGAGCCACAGGCCAAGACGCCTTGTGTTCTTGCCCTTTAGCTCCTGCCTCTGGTGAGGCCCTGGTCCCTTTGAACTGGCTGTTAGCCAGACGAGCTTTCTTCCCTAAGGATTCCAAGTGGAGAAGGGGAATGTCTGCTCGCTTTGTGCCCAGTCAGCTGCAAAGTCCATGCAGTTCAGGCCTCCTTGCCTTTCCTTCTTGGATGCCAGGCCTTGGTCCCTTTGACTGTTTATATGCTACATATTTGCATAAATACATGTTCTGCATGGTTTCTTCTCCATCTGGTAGTCTTTTGGTAAGGCCTGGGGGGGTTACATGTATATTGGGCCTGGGCTGCTTTAAAATTAAATCCTATGAATTCTGTCAGCTCAAATATAGAATTATCAAAGGAAGACTGCATGAACTATGCTCTGATGAAGAAATGAAATGCCTGAGAGTACCTGGGATCTGCGTTAGTAGTAGTTCAATTAAAAAAGTTTAAGGACTGCCACACCTTTGTGGACATATTGTGGAATTCTAAGCCTTGCCAAGCTCATTTTGGCATTTAGTGGATGTTCCACGGCTTTTGAAAATATTGGTCCAAGGTCTATATCTTTATTGATTCCATTATTTAAAAAGGACCTTTTTTCACTTTGGTGACTTTGTGATTACACACCCTAGTCTTATAATCCATGAGCTTTCTATCTTGTAATTGGTTTATGTTATTGTATTTTTCCCCATTGTGTATGTATGAAACAATAAAAAATTGGATGTTAGAATACTTATGAATATTTCATAATACAAAAACAAAAAAAACCCACTTAGACTTATTTGAATATTTATTGTTTAAAAAGCATACAACATTTAGCTTAGGCTATTAGATTAGATTGGGGTGATGTGTGGCATTTCAGCCCTGAACAACAGAAATCTAGGTCTGCTTCTCAGCTGAATTCTGAGATTCCAGCAGATATTCCCAATGCATTTTCAAGTTGTACTCATGCATTCCAAGTTTGTACTTATACAGGCCAGAAACTTGCTCTTTAAAACTGAGATTCTCAATATATTATACATTCTGTATTGAATGCTGTGCTTTTCTTGAGTTTTTATGGAACTGCATATAGCTATGGCTACAGGCTATGCAATTTACTCTAGAGAACAGCAGACGTGCAGCAAGGTAGTTGGACAGGAGCTGTTTGACATCAATTTATATCCCTATCCTCATGGATTTCTGTTGTGCTTTGTTTTTCAGAAGAAGATGTGGAGAATTTTGATGTTACAAACCTGTCTCAGGATGTGCTGCGGAGCATTGAAGCCGACAGCTTTTGGTGTATGAGCAAATTGCTGGATGGGATACAGGTAGGAGCTGTTTTACTATGTGCAGTTTCCAGTTGGCCATCCCTCAGTCCTATACAGCTCCCGTTACCTTTGACAACTTAACCCTTGCCATTCCCACATGGCCGATGGCACTCATACTTGCCGCTCTGACACTTCTGGGACATTCAAAGGATTCTTTCTGGTGGGTGCTGCTCTCCCTTTGATTCCTGTTCCTCTTCTGCCTTGCGCTCTCAGTTGTCCTGGTGCAAGCTATGTGCAGCTTGCTTTAAAAAATGCTAAAAAAGATTACAATTCAGTACTCAGCCAATTGGAAGTTTGCACAGAAGTTCTGCAATTTAAATGGATTATGCAAATTCAGCATATTTTCACCATAATTTTTTTTTAGCCTTGAGGAGTGTGATGCTTTGAAGGGTACTGAAACTCCTGCTCCCCCAACCCCCTACTATACAGTCATACAACCCTCTGGGCTCTGACACTGCTGCAGGCATTTCTCATGCTTTCAAGCATATTTTCATAGCCATTATGATTGGAGACTTGGGGGGGGGGGGAGCTGGTTAATGACAGCTGGGATTGTCAGGAAGTCGAATTTCGTGCCCATTGGCCAATGCTGCATTTTCCTCCTATGCTTTGCAGAATCCCAGCATATACACTGGTCTGGTTATGTTGTTTTTTTCTTCCCATACAACCTTATGTTTCTGGCCCATAGAGAAGGATATAGATGGTGTCCCATCATTTTTGGCAAAGGCAAGCCTGCATGCCCTGGGTTTTGGCTTTCAAGCAAAGAGCCTTAGTCATTCACATGGTTGATTCTTCTCATTCTTATAATCTTGAGATGTCATAATTAAGCTACAAAACTTACCTATGATACACTGGGGCATCCTATGAGTTGCATCCAAACAAAAAAGTAGCAGAGGTCTTGTGTATTGGGGGGGGTGTGTCAAAAATCATGATGGGTGAGGTACAGCCTTAATGGAAAGGGATGGGCTAAAGTGACATTGAAAGCATTTCCTTGGGCTGTTTGGGCTGTCTTGGCGATGAGGAGGCATGCTTTTCATTTCCCCCATAACTTCTGCAGCTTTTGGACCCAGATTTCATGGCTCTGCAAAAACACAAAAGAACTCAGTTGTAGTGCCCCGGATGCTTCTGTCCTTTCTATCCTTTTCTTTCAGGGTCAGACTTCCTAATAAACTGCATATAAGGCTGCATAAAGACATACCTTGAAATAAGATTGAGTGGGAGGATTTTTATTTTATTTTATTTTTTACCATGCCTTCCATCCTGTACTGCTACATGCACAAATTTCAGATTTGGAGGCTGTTCTCTCTAGTTTCCCTCCACCCATGCTTCAGGCAGACTCTTTGCTTTGTGTGCTCTTGCTTTGAGTGCCTGCATAGTTATCTGCTTAAGCCTTTTCCATTTTTAAGGGATTTGCTCTCTTCTTTTTCTGCACTTTGAAAATCACTCTCAGAATGTGGGTAAGGGGAGAGAGCTTTCTGACTGACACACAGACTGAAGATCAGTGCTGTGCACAACCCAGCCCTGAGGAGGAATAAGGTAGCCACATGATACAAAGGCTGGTGAGTTAGCACTGTCTCAATCCAGTATGCTCTTGGGCTGGAAAACTAGTTGCACCATAAACTCAGTCCCGTTGGAAAAGATGGTACATGTTCTGCAGGTGCTCTTTCATAATGTGCATCTGGATTCAGTCTTAAATACTCCAGCTTTTTGTGCCTATTTATGGCTCTGTGGGTCCTACATCACAGAGGGGAGTTTGGTGTAGTGGTTAAGTGTGCGGACTCTAATCTGGGAGAACCGGGTTTGATTCCCCACTCCTCCGCTTGCACCTGCTGATTTGACCTTGGGTCAGTCACAAGCTCTGGCACAGCTGTCCTTGAAAAAGAGCAGTTTGTGTCAGAGTTCTCTCAGCCCCACCCACCTCACAGGGTGTCCGTTGTGGGAAGAGGAAGGGAAAGGAGTTTGTAAGCCGCTCTGAGACTCCAAGTGAAGGGCGGGGTATAAATCCAATCTCTTCTTCTTCTTCTTCTTCTTCTTCTTCTTCTTCTTCTTCTTCTTCTTCTTCTTCTTCTTCTTCTTCTTCTTCTTCCTTCTTCCTTCTTCCTTCTTCCTTCTTCCTTCTTCCTTCTTCCTTCTTCCTTCTTCCTTCTTCCTTCTTCCTTCTTCCTTCTTCCTTCTTCCTTCTTCCTTCTTCCTTCTTCCTTCTTCCTTCTTCCTTCTTCCTTCTTCCTTCTTCCTTCTTCCTTCTTCCTTCTTCCTTCTTCCTTCTTCCTTCTTCTTCTTCTTCTTCTTCTTCTTCTTCTTCTTCTTCTTCTTCTTCTTCTTCTTCTTCTTCTTCTTCTTCTTCTCTCACAAAACCCAATGCTGGATTCCTGACGTATGTGTCCTTCATGTCACTGGAGTCAGTGTATACATAGTGGCAATACTGTCTGAAGAAATGTCCTCCTCAAAATGACTTTCTTCATATTGCAGTGGATACTTAGTTCTGCTGAACTGATCTTCAGGAAGAACTTGTGCACTTGCTGATGGGGATACAGGGCGTTCCAAATCGAGTTTTCCTGTCCAGAATTCAGCATATGCTGCTTTTCTTAAACAAGTTCCAGAGAAAATAGGATTATTACAGTAAGGATAATAATAGGAACTATGAGGACAAACGGGAAACCTTCATCCCCAGTGTTCAGAGGCAGCCACTCATAGGGCAAGTTTAAAAATGCATTTATCTAAATGTCTTCCAACCATCCCAGATCATACCTTAGTGCTGGGGCATGTTATATGTTCCATTTATGGGAAAGATCTACTTGAATCCTTGGCAAGGTGCCACCAGAGTAGACAGTACTGGGCTAACTGAAACAGTGTGGATGTCCCCAGTGACTTACTCCAGGCTTTCTTAGATGATGCTTCCATTCTGCACCCCTTCCAGTCCAGCTTCCGCCCTGGTCATAGAATGGAGACTGCACTGGTCACCCTCACAGATGACCTCTGGAGGCACCTGGATCAAGGCAGGTCAGCGCTGCTGTTGCTTTTAGATCTGACAGCAGCATTCGACATGGTCAGCTATGACCTGTTGATCCACCACCTTGCTGACATTGGGATACGGGGGACTGCTTTACAGTGGTCTTCCTCCTTTCTCCATGGTCGGGGACAGAGAGTGGCACTAGGGGAGAGGATGTCCCCATGTTACCCACTTGAATGTGGAGTGCCACAGGGGGTGATCCTCTCTCTGATGTGATTTAACATCTAAATGCGCCCCCTCCCCCATTTAGTCATCAATATGTGGATGACACCCAACTCTGTCTCTTTATGGATGGAGGGACACCACCCCAGATATTTTGGATGGAGCATTAGAGGCCATGGCTGGATGGTTGCAGCATAGCCAGCCAAAGCTAAATCTAACAAAGACGGAGGTCCTGTACCTGAGTCATGGGGGACTGGGATTGGGAATTAGTCTCCCAGTCTTCAGTGGGGCACCACTGATTCCAGCACCATGGGTAAGGAGTCTTGGAGTGATGCTGGAACCCTCACTTACTATGGAGGCCCAGGTCACTTTGACTGCCAGATTGGCGTTGTATCATCTTCGGCTAGTCAGGCAACTGGCTCCCTATCTCACCTCTCAGGACTTAGCTACACTTCCAGGCTGCATTACTGTAACTTGCTCTACATGGGACTGCCCTTCGGCCTGATCCATAAATTGCATCCAGTGCAGAAAGCGACAGCACACTTGCTGATGGCGACATCTTTGGGGGCGCACATTCAGCCGGTGCTGCGCCAACTGCACTGGCTGCCGATCGAATACGAGATCCAGTTCAAGGTTATGGTCTGGACCTTTAAAGCCCTATGCAGCCTGGGACCATCAGACCTGTAGGACCGCTTCTCCCCATATGAGCTCTGGAGAGCTTTACACTCTTTCAGTCAGTACCTCTTGGTGATCCCCGGCCCGAGGGACATCTGCTTAGCCTCAACCAGGGCAAGGGCTTTTTCGGCCCTTGCCCCAACCTGGTTGAACATGCTTCCACCTGAGATCAGGGTCCTGTGGGACTTATCCTAGTTCTGCTGGGTCTGTAAAATAGAGCTGTTCCACCAGGCTTTTGGTTGAGGTGGCAGGCGTTCAGCTGTTCTGACCCCCCTGATCATGGCCCCTTCCTAGTGCCCTGCTACTCTAGACGATACTGTTTGGGCACTGGAGCTTCCTGGGGTACCTATATCCACCTGACATGAGGCACGGGTTTTTCTGTTATTGTACATTGTGCCATCTGCTATTTTATTGCTTTTATTGTCTTGTGGGTTTTATGTTGTAAGCCGCCCTGAGCCCGCTCATGGAATAGGGCGGGGAATAAATAAATAGTAATAGTAGTAATAATAATAATAAATAATGTATTTGTTCTACAGGATAACTACACATTTGCACAGCCAGGGATCCAAAAGAAAGTTAAAGCACTGGAGGAACTCGTGAGCCGTATTGATGGTAGGTGAGAGGAGATTCAAACTGCAGAGGAAGAAGAACTTGCTGAGTTCTTACTGTTCATATCCCCAGTTGAATTGTAGCAACTGTGGGTTCATGTGGAGAAAAAGACAGTGGGTGTGAATTTTATAAAGCTTCCAAGAGGTAGGAAACAAGCTTCTAAAGGCTTCTTTAGCCAGTTATCTCTGCAAGATGGTAGTCAGAGTGGCATGCTGAAGCTGTTAACCCAGTTGCTGCCATTAAGCAATATTAGAAATGGGGCACTGCTGGGAGAAGGGAATGGGGGGGAGAGGACATTAGCTGAGAGGCAGGCGAGAGAGCGTGTGGTGAGCAGAGAAAGAACTACATTGCGCTTGTTGGAGGCACGTGATATGTGAGCTTTGGTGGGAAGGGCTTGGCTGGATGGAACTCAGGCAGTTGTTGGTAGGAATATGTGTGGATGGAGGTTGAGCTTCCCTGAGATGTGGCTTATGAGATATGACAGTGGGGGGAAACTCCATCTTCAGATGTGTAAATGGAATGTGCTGTTTCAGAGCAGGTACACAATCACTTTAGGAAGTATGAAGTGGAATACCTGCAGTTTGCCTTTCGCTGGATGAACAATTTACTGATGAGGGAGCTTCCTCTTCGCTGCACCATTCGCCTTTGGGATACTTACCAGGTC